CCGGTGAGGCGGCCGCCAGCCCTCCCCGGCGCCCCGGCCCAGCGACCCCCAAGGGCCCGATGCCAAGTCCACTGGGGCCCCCGCGGTTCCGGACTGCGCCTCCTCCGCCCCTCCGTGCCCTGTCCATCCCGGTCCTCTCCACCTGCCGGGTGTGCACACGCGTCTCCGCGCACTTCCATCCTCCCAGTGTCCGCCGGCCCCCCAGGCGCCCCTGGGTCCCCGGGACCTGTGGGTGACCCGTGCTTCGCTCCCTCGCCCCCTTCCTGCTCCGGCGGGGGACCCAGCTTCGCTCCGCTCCTCCGCGGGGCGCGGCGGGAGGCCTGCACCCTCCTGCGGCCGCGCCCGGCTGGGCTGGCGCTGAGCTGTACATACTGTGTGCAAAGTGTATATGAAGTTATTTATTCGTGACCCCTGAGCCCGTGACCGTGTCCGTGAATCAGTGAGTCTGTGGTCTGCGCCCTCCCCTTCCCGGGTGGGGCAGGAGGGGCCCATGGGACCTGCGCACCGACCCTGGCCCCCAGTGTCCAGCTCTGTCCCACCTGGGGACAGCCAGGCCTCTTGGGTTCCCTCTTTTTTAAATGTCGAAATAAACTTCTTACAAATGACCAGGCGCGCGTCCGCGCTCCCATCGTCAGTCTGTGCCCAGGCCCCGCCCGACCCTCCTAAGAGCTATTTGCCTCTCCTGGGGCTCGGTCTCCGTCCAGCCTCAAAGAAAGGACACTTTTGTCCCCTTCCCCTTCCTGGGTGCTGCAGTCCTTTGCAGGGGACCGGCTGAGCGTGCAGGGTCCTGGGCAGCTGGCGCCCCCACCCTGGCTGTCCTTCCGTGTCTACAGCAAGGGAAGCTTGCATTCTGCCTCCCCCTCCCCATGTGGCTCCTCGGGGCTCCCAGACCGTCCTGGGGCGCAGGCGGGGGTCTGTGCGTGGCCTCCCTTGCTGCTGCCCGGCTGCGGTGCTCTCGCTGAGCCGACTCATCTGGCTGTGACAAGGGCACCGGCAGCTGGTGACCGGCCTGCTGGTCTTGGGGCCGACAGATGGACTCCGAGGCTGCTCCCCATCACCCCACCCTCCTCCCCCCAGCACCCACGGGGTCTGATGCTGGTGGGCACCGGTCAGCTCTGGCCCCTGGTGCTGGTTCGGACCTGTGCGCCTTTTCCAGGAGCCAGACGCTGTACCGGTAACCTCCTACTCTCACAACCCCTCACTTTCCCGTCACCCTGGGAAGAAGTTGGAAGATCCAGAAAAGAGCCAGATCCCCGGGTCTGCCCCAGCATCGGGGGGGGGGGGGCTTTGAGTCTCCAGCTAGCCTCCAGAGCACGTTCTGAGGGCCAGGGTCACCTCCCAGGGCCATGCCTCTCTGAGGAAGCGGGCTTGGGTGCCCCCTCTGCACACCACCTGCAGCAGAGCGCCGTAGGCAGGAGCTGTGGGCGCCCAGCAAGCTGAGGCATGCCCCCTTTCCTGGGAGGACAGCTCTGGGAGAAGACGGATGAGCTGTGTTCAGGCGTAACCCCCAAAACCAGACTCACAGGTCTGCTACTGTTGCCTCCCCCCTTTGCCTGGGGTGGTGAGGGTATTATTCTAATTTTGCAAAATGCGCAGCAGCTAATTAAGTCAAGGGGCCCTCGGCTTTCGGGTTCTTTTGCATGTGAATGGGGGCTGGTAAATCCCAAGTTCTGGCTGCGGTGGGGGTGAGGGGAGACTGTCCCCAACTCAGGGTTAATGAAGTGGGAAAAGAGTCTCTCATAGCCTCCTGCAAACAAAACCCCCCAGGCAACAAACCCTGCCCAAATCCTACACGGATTGACTTAAACCCGGGGGATAAGTGCTTTAAATTAATCTCATTGAATAAGAATGAGACCAAACAAAACTCTTTAAAATCATATTAAAAATCTATCAAAGGACAACTTGCACTGGTGTGCTTTTCATTTTGTGAAAGTGGAGGAGGTAGGCTGGAGCAGCCACCCTTACATTTACACAGCCACAGTGTAAATCACAGACACATTCTCAACTATGTAATCGTCCTTGTACCTCCGAGGCCATTTCATATCTTACATTAATGAAGAACAAGGCTTCCCTACAAGTTTATAATTACAGTGCTTTGCACTGTCCTGCGCATCCCATCTGTAATAATAACTTCAGCCTGCAGTGAAGTGGGCTTCTGCTCTCCGTTCAGAGGCTCAAGTGGTTTGTGTCCCCAACCCTGGGCATGGGAACGTTTGAGAGGCAGAAGGTACGAGACCTCCAGTGGACTTGACAATAGGAGGGCAATGAACGAGGCTGTCCCTCCGGGGCCCACGCTCACAAACTTGCATCAGTGGCGGGGTGGGGGTGGGGTTAGGGTACCCCACAGCCCCCACAGTGATAGGCTTTGCTCTAAATGATTCCTCCAGTGGAGCAGAAGAGAGATACAAGTTTAACGCTCATGGAGGCAATTGAACAAGATCAGTTAAGCACACTTTCCCAGCGCGGCAGCTTCTTGGAGGACCAGCCTTGCAGCCGTCTCTGGGCAGTGGCGCTCGGGTGTCCACGGCTTCTGCTGATGGGGCATGAAGCGCTACAGTGCTCAACAAGGCGAGATCAGTTTGGAACACATCTGCCTGCAGAGGCCCTTCTGCTCCCCGCTTCTCCCCCAGGGGGCAAAGAAGAAAATCAAAGGCATGGAGTGGGCTTTGTCAGTGTCCTTCGGGTGCCTTGCTTGGCTCTCTGCTTGGTAAGAGTGGAAGACGCTGTGTGCACTGCCTCAGCAACTTAATCGCTCACCAAGGGGATCTTTGCTTGAGGCGTGAGAATGGGGACCCCTCTGACAGGCAGGCGCTGGGACTGCAACCCTGGGGTGTTTTGGATTCCAGAAAAGAATTCTACAAGCCCGCGCGGTGGGGGAGCTTCGGGCCACAATATTCCAGTAAATGTCTAAATGATCTGTGACTTTCGTATGGTAACCCGGTTGGTATCACAGAAAAATGGGCGAGTTTGGGAAATTAGAAACAGGCATGATTAAAAACACACACAAAATTAGAATATGTACAGTGGAATTAGGCGCAAGCTTTGCTTAATTGATGCCTGAAATGTATAATCTGTCAAGAGTTATAATAAGAGATTTATTTCAAGGTTCTTTAAATTTAGATAATATTAACCCTAAATCTGCTAAATCCATGTTTCTTTATTAACTGGGTAAGCTACTGATCTAGGCCCACACAGCGTCTCTGGCGTGAATGACGCGCTCCACCCGAGTCAGCACGGGCTGTGTGCAGGTTTCCCTCCTGAAGCAGCACCCCTCCCCGGGAGCACGGAGCCCTGCCCGCTCACCCGTATGGGCAGACGCTAGCGGCTGGGGAGGTACGTTTCTCCTTGGTCACCCCCACCGCGGGCACTGGGCCTGTTTTTCACACAGCTGGGGTTCACCTGTGAAGCCTGGCCCCTCCCTTCCTCGTCCAAATCCTGTGAGCCACCACCCCAGAATGAAGGAAAGGGGGTGGGTTTACCCAAGGCCAGCCTGACGTGTGCTGTCTTTAAAAAACTGTGGGAACAGATTTCACCAACAGTCCCCAACAGTTCCCGTGATGGCCAGCTCTGAGAAGGTCCTGCACTTCCCCCAGGGGGTCCCCGCTTGCCAGCTCCCCCTCCCCCGCCAGTGAGCCCACATGGCCTAGGGTCCCAGCCCTCATCCCAGGAAAACCCAAGGGGGTGGCACAGGAACCGCGAAGGCGGAAGGAAATCAGGACAGGAGTTAGGAGGACAGAGGCCCAGACAGGGCGGCGCAGGGCTCGTAACCCTTTCTCTGTGCGTCCCTGGGATGTCCAGGGCTTACATTTATTGGGCAATCAATACACTCCGGGGGTCCTCTTCAACCTCCCAGAAAACAAAGTGGGGGTCAGCTGGGTCTGGGTCAGCACACAAAGACCCGCAGACCTTTCCTGGAGGCAAGGCTGGGTGCGAGAGAGGAAAAAGGTTTGGAGCACCGGCGCCTTCTGACTTCAAAGGCAGTAATAATGAGGAGCAGTAAATCAATTAGCTCAGAGCACGCTTGCTGCGGACATGAAAGGGAGAGCGAGGACGCATGCAGATGCGACAGTTTGCGGGAGAAACGGGGAGGCCCAGCAAACGTGTTCCCGTTTCTAACTCAGACTAGAAACTCAGTCCTTTGCGACGAGGTGTGTATACATTAAGAAAATAACTACTTGACAAATACATTTTCTTTTTTTGGTTCAAATTCCAATCCAGTTTTAACACCCTGCTATACAAGAGTCACGCAATCCACACACGCACAGGGCTGTAGTCAAGGTGGGCCGCCCCACGCTCAGGACACTGGGTGCCAGGTGGGCCTGGTCCTGACGGCTGCGTGCGACCTCTTTCCGTAGTCAGTGCTGCCTGCCACTGTGCCTGTGGCCCATGCCACTCCTTCTAACCTGGGCTCCGCCTGGCCCCCAGGCGTCCTGGAGACTTAGTGCTCACAAGGTGTCACAGGTATTTTTCAGGTGAGAAGACATCCACCCAGTGCTGCCGGGGCCTCTAGGACCACTCAGACCAGTCCTGTGGAGCGGGATTTAAAAAACCTTCTGGGAGGCCTGGTGTCCTTCTGTCGGCCTCTCTGGGCTTCTGTGGTTCGGGGAGGATCTACTGGATCTTTCCCACGGTGCGGCTGCCGGCCTCCTGTGCGCTCCGCCTCCTGACCTTGGCGCCGCCGGCCTCCAGCCCACTTGAGTATTCCGAGCGGAGGACCTCAGCGAGGCGCTGTTTATGCCGTGGCTTCTTGCGAAGGTCAGGCCTGAAGAACAGTAACAGTAGAGGGGAGAACTTTAGTACTTTCTCCTTTCACGCTTAGAAAGGAGGCTGACGGCAGCTGGTTCTGAGACTGGGAAGCTGACATTTTTGTATTAACAGAAGTGCGAACCCTTCAATAGTGCTTGTTTTGATATTCCATGCACCAGAAGATTAGACACGGCGCTGACAGATTTTCATAACGGTGGCAAAATATCATGGCATTTTAAAAACTGAGGCTTTGTTCTGTGTTGTTTTCATGGGAAAAAAGAGAACTCTACACTCTCCTACTCTGATGGCAAATGAGGTGTATGATGCAGCAGTTTGCCAAAGGACGGAGAAAAACCCACCCTGGAACTCCTATCACATGAAGCGGAGAGAGTGTCCGCCTTCCCAGGGACTCAGACGTGGTGCAAAGTGACTGGGCCCTCGGCACCAGACGGCTGAGGACGAAGCCCTGCAGGATGGGCAGCCAGGCCCCCACACCCTGTGGCTCCCTCACAGAGGTCACACCCCGAGTGAGGAGACTCTTACAAGGGATTCTGACCCCGCAGCACCCCAAGCCAGGCTGCAGGCCTGTGAGTGTCTGCGCCAGGTTTAGGCCAGCAGCTTTCTGTCGTGGTCACACGATCCTTGCTCCAGCCCACATGGAAGATGCCAAAGGCAGACACTGAGCTGCAGAAACTGTTCTCTGAAGACAGCAGTCTCACCACCTGAGCAGATCAGGTAGAAGCTTAATCGCAGACAGAAGCATGGTTATAAAAACTGACGAGTAAGACGTTCCGCTACAGTTTGTGTCTCCATGTCCCCCGCAAAGCCTCATGCAGTCATGGGGCGGGGTTCTAGATTTATGACTGATCCCCAGTCCAATGCTGGGATGATGGGTATGAGTGCTACTCTTGCCCTGGGGCGGGTAGTCTGCATATGTAAGGGACAGGAAGAGGCTGGTGCAGCCACTCCTCCCTATTGCTCTTGCTACTTTGCTATCTTCTGTCCTGTCATGAACTGTTGCCCTCTGCCATGTGCCACCCTGCCTTGGAGCCAGCGGAATATGGCCTGAAACTGCTACAAACTGTGAGCTAAATAAACCTTTCCTTCCTTAATTTTGGGTATCAGGTATTTTGTCTCAGCAATGAGAGAAAAGTAACCAAGACAGTTCCCTAAGGCAAAATTTTCACCAAAATAACAACAAAAACAATGACCAATGAATACATACAGGCTCACTGGCAATTCCTTCAATGTCCGATGGACGTCTTAGCATAATACTGTGTCCTGGAGTTCTTGCTCTAATTGCTTTATTTATGGTGTTTCTTTACATAACAGAAGATAAAGTGGACTGAAATTATAGTCAAAATAAATATAACAGAACTCCTTTGAAACTCAGGAATTAGAAGTGAGACTAAGCCATGCTATTATCCTGATTACAAAAGCGTGTAGGGTCCCACTGTAATGGGGTAGAAGCAATGAGACCTGTTTATAAGCTCATCCAGAGAACAGGGCTACAGTCACACAACTGTTTCCTACTGTAACACAAAGGGAGAACAATCAATCTTTTAGGGAAAAAGATCCGGCAAGGGTATAATTAGTCACATTATTTAGGTGCCAGGAGTTCACAACATTCGTGTATGCCAGGGAAGGGACGCAGCAAGAATACTAGACGCACACAGGGAGACGCTTTCAGGGTCATGTGCACCGTGACTTGTGTGTATTACTCTTACAGCCCGTGCTCAGCGAGGCTGGGGTGACTCCCCCGCTTTTCCAGCTAAGACAGCCAGGCTCAGGAGGGGACCCCGCATGGCCTCAGTGAGGGGTGCAGAAGGGGAAGTCAGACAGGTGCGGGGGCTCTTCCCACCGGCTGACTGCTAGGAGGAGGACAAGTCCACAGGTCAGACTAACAGGAAGGGCCGGTGAGGTCAGAGTGGAAATGACATCTGTCACGCTGAGTGGAACGATGGGGACAAGAGGCAGGTGACTGAGGAGCAAGGAGTGGAGGGACGCATTGGGGTCAGCGCCAGGCCTGTCACTCACAGCCCAGTGACACAGAACAAGTGACTCAGTGTCCTTATCTGCACAGTGGGGATATACTGAGAACAGAACCCACAACGCCCCTAAGTGTGAATGGAGAGGACACACAAAGGGCTAGCTGGAGGCTGACACGTGGACTGTGACCCACACGGCCAAACACAAGGACCCTGAGGCCCTGAGATGCCGCACACTTCCGCCAGCCCACGCAGGAGCTGGGAAAGACCACGGGCCCTGGGCCGGGTCAGCGCTCTGCTGACCGCATCGCCCGCTTCCTGGAGGGCTGTGACCCCGCCTCTGGGTGCCTGCCCCACTGGACTGTGCACACTGGTGTCCCTGGCAGAGTTCCGAGCTTCGAGGGCCCCCGTGTGGTGCCAGCAGCAGACGGGCCCAGCAGTTGGGAGCACTTAGCCTGCTCCAAACTGAAGGCTGCCACTTCTGGTGCTTGTAGTTTATTTTTAGTCAGGTTACATGACAGACAGAGTGAAAAGGTTCTGACAGGAAGGAATGCTTTTTCTTCCCTCTCCTTTGAAGCCAAGTGCTCACAATGTGTATAATTTTAAATGTAACCACCTGAGGTTCAACATATGCAAAATTTCAGTCAAAATATTCTCCCCAGCATAAGCCCTAGCACTTCAATGATTGCTCCTCCCACTGCTAAAGCACAATAATAACCGGAGTCTCATCTGGGTGATTGATACGCTAATTGCCTACAGACTGTGCAGGCTGCAGGCGCCTCTCCCCGCTCCAGGTACACAGGCGGGTGCAGTGCTGCAGTCCGCAGTCCACCAGGCTGGCCTGGGGAGCCCACAAGGCCACACCCATGCATGCAGTGGCAGTTGTGTCCCCACCGGGCCCTTCTGCACCTGCCCTCAGCAAACAGACACACCGGGGCCGGGGCAGCAAGTATGACAAGCTACCAGACAGGAATGTTTGTTAAGGACCTCCGAGTTGGGTCAGAGGTCGCCAACAGAAAGCAGGTGTTGGGGTGGGAGGCGCCCAGAGGTAAGGTGCACGCCTAGCATGTGTGAAGTCCTGGGTTCGAGCCTAGAACCGCCGCCAAAAAGAGAAAGGCTCCCTGGAGGCGGTTCTGCTTGCTTGACTTTCACGTCCACGTCTCCTAGCTATCATCAACGTCCTTCTAGCTCAGAGGCTCACAGTGGCCCAGCAGGCAGCCAGGGGTCCCCACTTTTCAGGTCCAGATGGTGCAGGTGGGCGAACATCAGGGTCGGCCCTGGGGTTTCACCTGCTGCCCTGACAGTCACCAACAGGACCTCATTCCTGCGTCCCGCTCCACATCCTTCTTTGTTCTGAGGCCCAAAGCTGAAAAGGCAAAGTACAGATGGGAAGATGAACTCCTCTAAACCTGAGCATGTGACAGGCGCGCGTGCCTTCTTCTGCCAAGCTGCAGTCCTCCCAGAACTCGCCAACTTTCTTGCCCTTCTTGCCCTCCAAACACCCAGACTCCTCTCACCTGGGCTTCCTACGCATCTACTGTAGTAATGGGAGGGCGTTACCAAGCAACAGATCCGTTTATCTAACTGCGGGGAATCCCTCAGAGTGAGGGCTGAAGCCGCCCTGGTCTCCGCGCTAGATGACTCAGGACAGGCAGACCCACTTCCACTGCCAAAAAGGTGAGCTCACAGCCTGGTCAGAGAAGCAGTGCGTCCTGCTACGGTGGCCGCTGGAGCAGAGGATTGCAGGGCCCTCTCTCAACTTTACCAACAAAGGCACAGAATGACCTGTCTGGGTAAAAAGCCTCCAGCAAAGGCTTTGTAAATGGCATTCTTCTCTAGGCGAAGATTACAACAATTTTATTTTATTTGTATATTTTAAGTCTGTCACCATTTTCTTTTAATGTTTTTATGACTTTAAGGTCAGGCTTAGAAAAATCTTCACCCCAGGATTTAACATTCGAGTATATTTTCTTATTCTTTGAGTCTGTTGCAGTTCCGTCTAGATTTTACACTGGTTTCTGCCCGTCCTCCTGTCACCCAGCCATCCACAGCAGTCACTGGGCAGCTACCTTTCTCCCCGAGACTCAGTCGCACCTCCAGGATGCTACGCGCAAAGGGCAGATGAGAAGGATGATAAAAGGTTACCAGATAAATACGGTAAAACATTTAAGCAAACACCAATTGCTTAAATGGATTGTTTTATGCTTAAATGGGTTGTCAATGGATTTAAAGATAAAGCACTTAAACTAAAGCCATTTCAATTGGCTACGTGAACCTCTTAATATAAAAACAATGTTCACAGGATCTCAAAGCACAAAGACTGAACCTTGGTAAAGGTCTTCCAAGGCCCAGTTGAGTAATTTAGTGATTCCTTCAGTCTCGTTTTAAGTAAATGATGATTTCATGAAAAAAAAAACAAAAACAAAAACAAAAACCCTCTATGTGCAACTCGTGCGAAGAACAGGAAGGACACACAATGTGAGCCAAGGCCAATGCGGACTGCGGGCTTAGAAGGAACTTTTAAGCTTCTGTTTCCTCAGATTTTACCAGGAGTGTACTTACTTTACAATTAGAAAAAAAAAAAAAAACACATTTCATTATAAGGGGAGAAAAGCAAATGGTAGAATTTTGCTCATGCCAAATCCAAGAGTACTTTAATTTCTATTAATCAAAAACCCTTCTGCCTTCTGGCTTTCATTAGTTTGGTTCTGAGGGTTTTCTCTTGCGCTATAATTAAAGCGAGGAACATGGAGCGGAGGCGTAGCCACTCCCCGTGCATGTCCTTACGTGCCCTGCTGTGGGTTCCAGTCAGGCCTGGTTCTGAGCGTCTTCAGGAGCCCGAGATGCCAGACTCCTGGCCAGCGCCTTGGAGACTGAGCACAGCACAAACAAGGGCCAAGCACAGGCGAGGCCAGGACACAACAGAGCGCCTCTCGTTCTGTTTCTCTGTGAAAAGGTACTGGGGTACGGTCAGGACGGAAGGATGCAGGGTGGATATGGAAACGGGTGGAAGTGGTACGATCAGACC